ATATATATATATATTTTACTTACATATATATATATGATTTTTGTTTGTTTGTTTTTTGTGAAGGGAGACCAAGTCTCACTCTTGACCCCCAGGCTGGAGTGTGATGGCATGATCTCGGTTCACTGCAACCTCCACCTCCCAGGTCCAAGTGATTCTCCTGCCTCAGCCTCCTGAGTAGCTGAGATTACAGGCACGCACCACCACACCCGGCTAATTTTGTGTATTTTTAATAGAGATGGGGATTCATCATGTTGGCCAGGCTAGTCTCGAACTCCTGACCTCAGGTGATCTGCCTGCCTCAGCCTCCCAAAGTAGTGGGATTACAGGTGGAAGCCACCATGCCCGGCCTATTTTTTTGTTACTGAAATGAAACAAACATCTTTGGTCTGGGTCTTCACATCCCCACCTCTGCCTCCTGCTCTTACTGACATGATACAGTTGTGGACAGCCAGGAAGTCATCCCTCCTGTGGACTCTGAGCTAACCAGCACCCTGCAGAACTCAAGCCAGGAAAAATGGGGAGTGGTTGGAGGAAGGGGACAGTAGTGGGAATAGGAGGCAGGACAGGGGACATCCAGTGATGCATGGGTCGTTCACCTGGTGTTCATCCCACCTGACGCTGGGCCTGTAACACCTGGCTCCACGTTCTGACCTCTGAGCTTCTTCCCCAGTAATGGAACAGAGACTTTCCCAGGCGGGAGAAGGAACCATCCCCTGGCCGAGCAAAGAGCTCATTGTCAGAGTTTACGTAACTGTTCGAGTTGCAGAGCCAATGTAAAAATAATTTCTGTCCATCTGGAGTGGATTTAAGAGATGAAAGAAAAGTAAATGATATAAACCTCTGGAATGTTTTAGAAAAATGCATTGAGGGTAGAAAAAAATATGGGGTAGCATTAAGCCATCCCTGCAATAAAGGGCTCCTCGGGGTGTCTGCTGCGCCAGAAGGAGCCCTGCAGGTTTACTCAATGAATCTCTGGATCTTGGAGTGTGAAGAGACCAGATAGTAGGGGGTAGTAGTAGCAGTAGCAGCAAGAAAAGCTGACACTTACAGGCGCTTACTCTGTGTCGCACAGTAATCCTGCAAGGGTAGGCGTTACCATTCCCATTTTCTTTTCTTTTTTTTTTTTTTTGAGTTAGGGTCTCACTCTGTGTCTCAGGCTGGAGTGCAGTGGCATGATGGGAGCTCGCTGCAGTCTTGAACCCCTGGGCTCAAGCAATCCGCCCACCTCAGCCTCCCAAGCAGCTAGGACTTCAGGGATATGCCACTATGCCCAGCTAATTTTTAAAAAATATTTTTGTAGAGATGAAGTCTCATTACATTGCCCAGGCTGGCCTTGAACTCCTGGCCTTAAGTGATCCTCCCACCTTGCCCTCCTAAAGCTCTGGAATTAACAGGTGTGAGCCACCGCGCCCAGCCCCCATCCCTATCGTAGAGACAGACGAAGGCTCAGAGGGTGAATAACTTGACTGAGGCTCACACCTGCTCAGTGGCAAAGGCTGTCACTGAGACCTATCCTGTGTGCCCATCTCTTGTCATTTGCCTCCCTTGGCTTTAGGAATCCAGCATTGCCCATTTCTCCTCCTTGAGGCTTGGGCTTTGGGGCCCGTTTGCCTGGGGAAGCTGTCAGTCACTGGGAGCAGCCCTGCAGCTCTGCATCCTTTGCAAGCCTCAGGGCCATTGTGTATGAGCAAAGGCACCCCGTCCAGTCTAACCTGAATCTCTGTAGGAAGAGGCGTGCGGCTCTACTACATCGGAGGGGAGGTCTTCGCAGAGTGCCTCAGTGACAGCGCTATTTTTGTCCAGTCTCCCAACTGTAACCAGCGCTATGGCTGGCACCCGGCCACTGTCTGCAAGATCCCACCAGGTAAGCCAGCCACACAGGCACCCCTGCCTTGAGGTCCCTCTCCAAGTGCATGCCTGGGATGCTGGAGAGAGTCCACGTTTCTCACCTTTTCTGCTCACTGGTGATTGCGTTTTCAATCTGGAGGTGATTCGATTGGGTTTTCTCTATGCCCACAGATCTAACTGTGCTTTCCCTGAACCTCCAGGGAGCAGATGTAGCATCTGATGGGTCTGCCTTTAACCATGGGTACCTGCCTGTTGCCCTGTGTGTAGATGCTCAGGCAATGTGGCTTCCTTTCTTCACTCATTCATTGTACTAACAGCATGCAGGGCTCCGTGCCAGGTGCTGTAGGGGATGAAGAGGTAGATGGGGCCCTGCTCTGCTCCCGCAGACCTTACAAACCTACAGAGCACAGAAGACAAAGACACGGATGAGTTCAATATAAGGGAGGGGTGCCAAGCACCAAGCCAGCAGCCCAGGTAGAGAGAAGGCCCATTTAGCTGTTGGGATGGATCAGGGAAGTCTTCATGGAGGAGAAGCATCTGGATCCTGAAGGATAGGTAGGCACTAGGCACAGGGAGGGCTTTCTAGACAGGGGGAACAGGCCAGGCAAAGGCCCTGAGGTGATGGGGGGCAGGACATGGATGGGTAGCTCTCTGGCTGGAGGAGGGCCACGTATGGGAGGGCCACGTATGAGACGGTCAGGGGAAATGTTTCAAAAGCACAAAGCATGAGGCCGTGGAAGGACAGCAGAGTTTGACTCTAGGGAACTGCTGAGGGTTTTCTGAGTGAGTCTGAAGATGCCACCTGTACCCCAAGAAGAGGTGTCAGGCTGCACCCCCGAGAGTGGTTTGGACAGGGCCATGCCTGGACAGCAAGATCAGGCAGGTGGCTGATCCCGTCTAAGGCCTCTTTCCTCAGGAAACCAAGGCAGAAAGCCCCAGCCAAAGCCCACTTTTCACAGGACCTGCAGCCACTGTGCAGGCAGCCCGCGGAACGTGGCCTGTGACAGGCTAGTGGAGCAGGTAGCCTGGCCGGGCCATTGCCTGTGACACGTGTGTGGCATGCCCTTTCCTGCCCACTGAGCAGCAGATGGTAGTGGAGAAGTGGTGGACCACGGGCAGGGAAACTTCAGAATGCAGAAAGTCTGAAATGGTAATAGCGCATCAGGTTTCCAGAGCATTTTGTGGTTGCATTTACAGAGTACATTCCGATCTTTGACCTCATTTAGGCCTCTCTAGTTATTCTCTGGCTCTATAAGTAAGGAGACGCTTTGAGAGACAAGTTCAGAGAGTTTCAGCCATCTGCCCAAGGACACACAGCTAGTAAGTGACGAAGCCAGGATGGGGCCTAGGGCTGATGGACTCTCAAGTCTGGTGCTCTTCTGCTTCTTGGCTCTGCTGGGGGTCAGGGCCCAGGTTCAGCCCTGTTCCACCACCCTTGTCCTTGGAGAGAATGAGAAGAGGAAGCTCAGTGACGCTCTTGGCCTTCTGCCTCCTCCATTCCCGCGCCCCACCCCCATCTTTTGGGTGAGGGCTGAGTTGGCTCTGGTGGTGTTTGTCAGCTCATAGAATGTCAGAGCTGGAAGGACCTCTGAGGCCAGCCCCTCATTATACAGAGACACAGGGTCCCCAGGAGAAAGCGACCAGCTCAGAGTCACACAGCAAGAACAGGAGCCTGCTGTTGGCTCATTCATAAGCGTCACCCCAGCTCACCTTTTGGCTATTTCCGGCATGTGCTTTTGTCTTTATTTTTCTGGTTGACACATTCCTGGCACTCAGGCAGTAAGACTTCAAACAATGTTTATTTTAAACTTTATTTGTGACTGTCTTTAGTTTTACTGTCTGGAGAATTAGATGCACACCTTCACTTAGCTGTGAATGTCACCTCCACCCCGCCTGGTGCCCAGAGGCCAAACTGTGGCCCAGATCTCTCCTTCCCTCCTAGCCCCAGCACCAGGTGTATTCATCAGAGGAGCCCAGGTGGAGGGTGCCCTGGGCCCTCCGCCGAGCTTCCTGTGGGGATGGCAGGCCCAGTAGCCTTTCAGCCAGCCCGTCTCTGCTGGCACTGCCTGCTATGGAACAGCCAGAGCTCCTGTTCCTAGGTGGGCGACCAGACCCCACACAGCATGGGCAACCTGGTCCAGGTCCCTTATCTCTCTGTCCCCTGGCCCGTTTGCCCAGGGCAAGGCCCCCTCTCCACACCATCTCCCTAGTCTCGGAAGCCCACTTTGCACACTTCTCCCCGCTCTGGGAGTGGGAGCTTGTGGGCCAGCCTTCCATCTCCCCTTGCAGGTATGTCAGCGGCACCTCCCAGTGAGGAGGTGGGTTCAAGGGGAGGGACTGAGTCGGCCTTCCCTTTGCGTGGTGCTGAGCATGGAGTGTGTGGCAAATGCATCACACACCATGTGTCCCTGGAGCTGTATAAATGAGGCTGGTCTAGGGGGTCCAGGACTTGCTTTATCCAGGAGGGGAGCAACAGACCTGGCCACTTTCATCCCCACAGCCCCGTTTCTGTGTTTTTGCCAGGATGCAACCTGAAGATCTTCAACAACCAGGAGTTTGCTGCCCTCCTGGCCCAGTCCGTCAACCAGGGCTTTGAGGCTGTCTACCAGTTGACCCGAATGTGTACCATCCGCATGAGCTTCGTCAAAGGCTGGGGAGCAGAGTACAGGTCGGTTACGGGTGCTGCCTACATCAGGGGCCCCAACTCCAGGGGACTCTGGACAGCAGAGCAGGCGGGGCTCCTCAGAGATGAGCGAGGCCAGCCCTGGCATCAAGAGCAGAGAGACCAAAGATCAGAGAGAGCCCAGGGCCTGGCAGGCAGGAGGGGCTGGGCCAGCAGCAAGGATGAGGAATTGCAGAGCGATGTTTGCTGGCACCGAACAGCTGCAGGCACTGTAAACACACGCTCCCTCTTATCCTCATCCCAGCCCTGGGTGGGGCTGCCGGCATCATCCGGATAGATGAGAGAACTGAGGCCCAGGGAGGAAGAGTGGCTTGCCTGCAGTCACACGGGTAGAAGAGCTGTGTCTAGAACTCTGCCCTCTCGGCTTCTTCCTTACTCTTCATTTTAGGCACATGGCTTTAGGATGCCCCTCTTCAGGAAGTTAGGTCTTCAGCTCATTGTTCTTTCCTCCTCTGTTGTTCCATTTCTGACTCAGGGACCCCTGGTGATGCTGAGGAGCCCGGGATATTAAAACTGAGAGTCAGGGAAGGGAGGAAGAGATTTGGGTAGTTATAAAGGAACAAAATTTTCTCGCTGAGAAATGACTTTTTTAGAGTCCTACATACTGGTTTCTTTTCTTTTTTCTTTCTTTTTTTTTTTTGAGATGGCGTCTCCCTGTGTCACCCAAGCTGAAGTACAGTGGCGCCATCTCGGCTCACTGCAATCTCTGCCTCCGGGACATGCCTCAGCCTCCCAAGTAGCTGGGACTACGGGCGCGTGCCACCACGCCCAGCTAATTTTTTGTATTTTAGTAGAGACCACCATGTTGCCCAGGGTGGTCTAGAACTCCTCAGCTCAGGTGACCCGCCTGCCTCGGCCTCCCAAAGTGCTAGTACAGGTGTGAACCACCGTACCCGGCCCTAGATACTGGTTTAAACATGGCCCTGATGTAGTCAGGTCTACCTGGTCTGCTTGGGTTCAATCTCTCAGGCCATCCTGCTTTGGGTTTAGAAAATCCAGTCCCTTTTCTTTCCACTCACGGACAAAAGTTTGCCGAGAGGCAGGGCTGTGTGCCCTCGCCTTCTGCTCCACACTCCCCACTGCCAGCCGCCAGCTCCTGCGGCAGATGCAGGGGTGCCCACACGTCAGCTCGAGCCAGTGCCTTGCAAGCTACTCTCCCCTTCTCTTCATTTTTCCAGATGTTTGGAATCCATTTTGTTTTGCAGTCATGCTGCACCCAGGCCAAACCCATTTCAATATTGGCCTTGGGCCACCGTTTGTAATGAAATCCAGATGAGCATGACTTATGGAAAGTCAGATTCTCATTAGAGGATTTCGTCCTGTAAAATCCTCCTCTTCCACTTACCGTATTTTAGCTGCTGTTCTTCTGTGTCTGCCCCAGGGTGTCAGGGAACATAGCCCCTTGGTCTCTGGGGTGTCTCTGAAATTCAGGAGTGACCAGTGAAGCAATCAAAGTGGTCAGACCTCAAAAGAACTTACCTATGTTATGGTCTAAAGAGATCAGCCCAGGCCCAAAGGTCCAGCCAGAGAAATGTTTTAAGCAATCTTTTAGCCCTGGCTTAGATCATTTAGGGAACAGGAGTGAAAGGTTAGAAAGTTAATCTCTTTTTACTGGAGAAGGGAAATATTTAAAGATGGACTGCAGTGGAGAAGAGCAAGGGGATGTCCATTCGCTCTTCTTATACCAGATTGTAGTTGAGAGGGCCACATTCAAGTACCCTCACTCATGCAGACACCCCAGGGTTTGTCTGCAGGCCCATTTCTGAACCTCCCTGCTACACAAGCAAAGTAGAGGCCAAGCAAGGAGGGCGGTGCCCTCAAGACAGCAGCCCTGTTCCTGGTGTGGCATTGCAGCTCTCCCGCTCCAAGTGCTAGGAAGAGGCTCTTTGGTGGCAGAGCCTTTCCCTGGGGACACTGTATCACCGTGCGGGATGTCCTGCCAGCACACCCAGTCCTCTGCGGCCCACCGCGTCACCGCTGCCTGGCAGGACTGCACAGCAGCCTGACGGGCGGGCGCGGCCCCTTCCCAGAACAGCTTTGTCGTCCTCCTGCCTCTTGGGCCAAGGAGAGTAAGGTTTCAGCTCTTCTCTCTGTGCGGTGGCTGAAAGCAGGGCCCAGGGCCCACACCTCTCACCTCCAGCTGGCACCAGCGGCTCCAGCCTCAGCAGATAGCCTTTGCTCAGTGGAGGCCTTTGGGAGCCTGCCTGCAAGCTGCGTCATCAACCAGCCTGAATTTAGACAAAGTGCTTTGGGGAAAAGAAACGTGTGGTGTGCCTTGGTTTTTTCCAGTAATTGTTCCATGGCTCGCTCTGCTTGTAAGATTTTCCAAAATAAGGCCGTAGATGAGAATTATATCAGCATATTGGGAACCGAAGGCATGCGGACACTGTTGGCGCTTTGTAAAAAACACCCCTCAATCAGACAGACACACGTCATCGTGGCCTGCTGGGGCTGGGCCCGGATTTGGAGATAGGGGAGCGGCACGTGCCCATTTGGTACAGATGGGAGCCAGGAAGCCCTTTGCTCAGGATGGAGGTCTCTTCTATTAGGGGGCCTGTTACAGTAACTGGTGGGCCTCTGGGTGCCCTGCAGTTGACTTTGCGTATTTAACTCTTTGCCGTTGACTTTACATGTTTAACTCTTTAAAGTTGACTTCCTTCCCCCTCGAGAGAACTTAATTTACCTGAAGTCCTCCCTGGGTGGAGGAGTGTGGCCTGGTAGTTTCAGCAAGTTATTGGTACCACTTCTAGGACAGCGTCTCACAAGGTAGTCTATCTCTCTGGCTTTGGGAAGATGTGTGTCACCAAAGCAGAAGAAGTTTTCTGACTGTGTAGCCCCCTGGAGATGTTTTTAAGTCCCCCCCCACCCCTTTCCCTGTTTCTTACAGGAGACAGACTGTGACCAGTACCCCCTGCTGGATCGAGCTGCACCTGAATGGGCCTTTGCAGTGGCTTGACAAGGTCCTCACCCAGATGGGCTCCCCAAGCATCCGCTGTTCCAGCGTGTCTTAGAGACATTAAGTGTGGTAGGGGAGGGCGGGCTTGGGGGAAACGGCCATGCAGGAGGTGGAGAAAATTGGAACTCTACTCAACTCATTGTTGTCAAGGAAGAAGAAATCTTTCTCCCTCAACTGAAGGGGTGCACCTACCTGTTTTCGGAAACACACGAGCAAACCCAGAGGTGGATGTTATGAACAGCTGTGTCTGCCAAACACATTTACCCTTTGGCCCCACTGTGAAGGGCAGGAAATGGCGTCTGCTCTGGTGGCTTAAGTGAGCAGAACAGGTAGTATTACACCACCGGCCCCCTCCCCCCAGGCTCCTTTTTTGAGTGACAGCTTTCTGGGCTGTCACGGTCCAACCAGAAACGCCCCTCTGTCTAGGACTGCAGTGTGGAGTTCACCTTGGAAGAGCGTTCTAGGTAGGAGGAGCCCGCAGGGGCCATGCGGACCTCACGCCCAGCTCTCTGATGTTTGTGACGGTGCCTCTTCCAATGAACATTCCCAGCCCAGCCCCAGCACTCCAGCAGACCCTGCCCCTCGTGAGCTGGATAGACCTGGGGTGGGGAGGGAGGGAGTTTGTCTCCCTCCCCTCTCAGAACGTACTGATTGGAAGGCGCGTGTTCAGCAGAACCTGCACACAGGACAGCGGGAAAAATTGATGAGCACCACCTCTTTAAAAACTCACATGCGTTTGTCCTTTTTCACTTTGAAAAGTTGGAAGGATCTGCTGAGGCCCAGTGCGTATGCAGTGTATAGTGTCTATTATCACATTAATCTCAAAGAGATTCGAATGATGGTAAGTGTCCTCATGAAGCAGGAGGCCCCTGTCGTGGGACGGCGTTTGGTCTCAGGCAGCACCGCACTGGGCGCGTCTCCAGTCATCTGTAAGAGCTCGCTCCAGATTCTGATGCATACGGCTATATTGGTTTATGTAGTCAGTTGCATTCATTAAATCAACTTTATCATATGCTCTTTTAAATGTTTGGTTGATATATTTTCTTTAAAAATCCTGGGCTGGCACATTGACTGGGAAACCTGAGTGAGACCCAGCAACTGCTTCTCTCCCTTCTCTCTCCTAAGGTGAAGCTTTTCCAGGTTTTGTTGAAGAGACACCTGCCAGCACTTCTGCAAGCTGAAATTTACGGAAGCAAATTCACCAGAAGGGAAAACATCTCAGGCCGACATAGGCAAATGAAAAGGGCTATTAAAATATTTTTACTCCTTTGCAAATTGCAGGCTTGGTTCAAAGAGGTCTGTCATCTTCCCCCTGGGATATAAGATGACCTAGCTCCCGGTAGAGGATCGTCAGTGACAACTATAGCAGTTGTATTGTGTAATAAGTACCGCTCCCAGCAGCAATTCGGGAGAAAACTAGCCTAAATGATTTCAACTGGAAAAAAGAAAAAAGAGCCCTCTTCTTTTCCCAGCCTTTTGCAGAACACAATAGACAGAACTGCCACCTTCAATTGGTACTTTGTTCTTTGCTGCTGTTTTTGTATAAAATGACCTATCCCACATTTTTGCATGGATTTAAAATCAAGGGACTTCCTATGGAAGTCCTGTTTTATTCCAGGTGAAGGGAAGAAAGTGTATACACTTTTGGCAGGGTATACACCTCCAATGTGATGAGATTTCTGATGTTGGAGGGAGATGGAGAGGTTTCCTGATGCCTCACCTGCAGGGTCCTGTGCCTCTGAATCTCTAGCCATGAGGTTTCCAGGTAGGACAGCTGCTCCCCAAGCCTCCTGAGGACACAGGAAGAGATGGAAGGAGCACCTTGACAGACTTGTGTGAGTCTTCTCGAAAGAGTATTGACTCAGAACCCAGAGACAACACAACACCCCTCACTTCCTCTGAGAGGGCCAAATACTGTGAGTCTGAAGTATGTGCCTGGTGTCGAAATGATCTGTGGCCTGTTGCTTACACAGGAAGCCCCCTGAACCTCCTGTACATGGGTTCATGTTCCCAGCCAGCTCTGAGACCCAGGACACAAATACTCCATTTTGGCTTCTGCTAGAGCAGTCATGGTTCCTCTCCTAAAAGCCATGGGCAGCAGTTTCCGAGGGCCTGCATTCTCCACCTGCTGCATGATTCTGTGAGGGCTTCCTGTGGCACACAGCCCTCTGGGTGCTTGGGAACTAGCTTCAGGCACAGCCCGATTCTGGTGATCCAGTGATCTGTGGAGTCTGTCTTATTCCAGGTGAAGGGGGGAGAAAAAGCCTATACTTTGGCAGGTTATGAACTTTGAATGTGATGAAATGACACATTTGGCTGCTTTTGGATAGTGTCTTAGAACCCTCATTGCTCAGACCTGAAGGCTACTTCCTTGGCCCTTTTTCTTTATAGACTAGACCATCAGAGGAGGATGTGTGGGATTGTAGGCAAACCCACCTGTGGCATACTGAAAATAAATTTGATCATACCTAAGAGGTTAGGAAATGGTGCCTTTCCCACCTTAGAGCGCTACATAGGTGCTTTGGGCATATGTAACATTAGTCTCCTTCCTTGAAGCCACAAGCTAGTTTTCTTAGTTTTAAAATCCTGTGGTATGAGTGGCATTTGTATATTAAAACACTTTTTTTAAAGGACAGTTGAAAGGGGCAAGAGGAAACCAGGGCAGTTCTAGAGGAGTGTTGGTGACTGGATAGCAGTTTTAAGTGGCGTTCATCTAGGCAGCACGACCGTGTGTTGCCGCTGCCCTGGGCTCCCCGCCATGACATCTTCACCTTGCAGCTTGTGCTGAGACTGACCCAAGTGTAGCTAGCACTGGGACATAGATCCTTGTCTTCAGCACCTTCCAAGGAGCCAACTTTTATTCCCTTTCCTCTCTCCCCGCCCCACCTCGCTTCTTCCCAATTTAGTAACTTAGATCCTTCCAGCGCATACGTAGGTAGCTACCCCAGCCGGTTTGGATTACAGGCCTGTGCTGGAACATCATCTCAGTTGGCCACCTTCCTGGCAGGCTGTAGACCTGACATTTTGAGACAAGCCTAGAGTCAGGAGCAGGGACTTTGACTCTTAGGAAGAGCACACATGAGGACAAGGCTGCTGGCAGACGTCTCCATTGTCCTTATGTTGTCTGTGTTGTATTTTCTTTTTTTTAATTGACCATGGTGATTATTTTTTTAAACCATTGTTCATATACTGAAGTGAGCTATAGCACATTATCGTGTGCTTATTTTGTTTTATTTTTCTCCATCTCCCCTTGGCTTCCTAGAGTTTGGGCATATTCCAGGCTAAACGCTTTTACTGAAGACTACAGAAAGGTCTGAAGTAGTGTGTGCATGGCATGCACGTATGTGAGTAATCTGGGGAAGACGCAAAGATCTGTTTCATTCTTAGCCTCAGGCTCCTGAGGGTCTCCACAGGGCCAGAGCTCAGGTTACACAACCACTCCTTCGTCCTCACAGGAGATGCAGGGAGAAGAATCTGCAGGCTGCTTGTAGGACTGTTCACCAAGGGGAATACCAGCAGCAAGAGGGCACACGTTTAGCCCTGGACGCTGTTTCTTACTGTGTGACTTGGCTAGAGTTGGGAGTTCCCCCAAAACATACGTGTCCCCATTTTTCCAGAACCAAACCTCAACACAGCAAAGCTGTACTGTCTTTATGTGGCAAAAATGTTTCCTTGTAGGCCCCTTTCAGGTAACAGTCTTCACAATGTATTGCCATCACGGTTTAAGGAGCATCAGCAGCTTCTCAAGTGGGTAGGGAAAGCAGAAAAACGTACGCAAGAGGACATGGATCCAAAATGATGACGAAGCATCTCCCATGGGGAGGTGTTGGTGGGGAGATGATGGGCTAAACAGGCAACTTTTCAAAAACACAGCTATCATAGAAAAGAAACTTGCCTCATGTAAACTGGATTGAGAAATTCTCAGTGATTCTGTAATGGATTTTTTTTTTTTTTTTTTTAATGCAGAAGTAATGTATACTCTAGTATTCTGGTGTTTTTGTATTTATGTAATAATTTCTTAAAACCATTCAGACAGATAACTATTTAATTTTTTTAAGAAAGTTGGAAAGGTCTCTCCTCCCAAGGACAGTGGCTGGAAGAGTTGGGGCACAGCCAGTTCTGAATGTTGGTGGAGGGTGTAGTGGCTTTTTGGCTCAGCATCCAGAAACACCAAACCAGGCTGGCTAAACAAGTGGCCGCGTGTAGAAACAGGCAGCTCTGAGTCAGATCTGGGCCCTTCCACTAGGGTCCTCTGAACCAAGCCCCACTCCCTTGCTAGGGGTGAAAGCATTACAGAGAGATGGAGCCGTCTATCCAAGAAGCCTTCACTCACCTTCACTGCTGCTGTTGCAACTCGGCTGTTCTGGACCCTTACTTTGGTGTGTGTTGAGGGATGGGGAATAGAACATTGACTATGTTGATTACCTTCACTATTCAGCCAGCCTGACCTTTTAATAACTTTGTAAAAAGCATGTATGTATTTATAGTGTTTTAGATTTTTCTAACTTTTATATCTTAAAAGCAGAGCACCTGTTTAAGCATTGTACCCCTATTGTTAAAGATGTGTGTCCTCTCGTTCCCTCTCTTCCTCTTGTAAGTGCCCTTCTAATAAACTTGTCATGGAAAAGCTCCTGTGCCAGGAGCTCAGTCTGATTCTTGCTATTGTCTGTGGGTGGAAAGAAGATTTAAAGGGGAGCCCCGAGGGGTCCCAGGGACTTCAGGGCTCAGGAGGACCAGAGGAAAATGTCTATAAGCCCAGATACACCTTGACCAATGATGTGCCAGGCCACATTCTGCCATGGTCCTCATGTAATATCCAGCTGCTCTCATTCACCAAGGGCAACATGCAGTGCCAGCAGGAGCCCCTGAGCCATCTGCACAGAGGTCAAGTTTCTCAATGGGTGGATCTCGCTGTTGCCCAAGCCTAAACACCATATGTGTCCCATCTATCTCTGCAGTGCCATTTTGTATTTTACTTCCTCTATATCCCAAGGCCTTTGGCAAATGACTGAATGCCACCAACCCAACCTCCAGCCCTGCCATCTCTTGCCTCTGCTAGTCCCTCCTAGCCTGATTCCTCCGTATTGTCATGGTGTCTTAAATGCCACCAGATTTGCCTTCCCACAGGCATGGAGGTAACTTTAGCGCCACAAGTACCTTGGTTTCCACATCTTCCAGCTCAGATGACTGTTAGCACCTGTGAAAATTCATTTTGAATTCAAAACGCCCAAGGAGAAAGGGACTTCAAAGTTGTTTCTTTGGCTAGATCTTACATCGACCCCAGAAGATGTGGAGAAAGAAAAACATTGATTAAAATGTAAAATGTTGGCCAGGCGTGGTGGCCTGTAATTCCAGCACTTGGGAGGCAGAGACAGGCAGATCACTTGGGGTCAGGAGTTCAAGACCAGCCTGGCCAACATGGCAGAACCCCGTCTTTACCAAAAAATACAAAAATTAGCCAGGGGTAGTGGCGCACGCCTGTAGTCCCAGCTACTTGGGAGGTTGAGATGGCAGAATCACTTGAACCCAGGAGGTGGAGGTTGCAGTGAACTGAGATCACACCACTGCATTCCAGCCTGGGCAACAGAGTGAGACACTGTCTCAAAAAAAAAAAAAAAAAGTAAAATGCCTTTTGGTTTTTGAGAGTGAATAAGCAGCGTTTGGGGTAGAAGGATGAACTGGGTTGGAATAATCCTGTGGTGTGGCCACATCTGCAGCAGTCCTCCTAAGGACCTCCCCAGCATCCAAACACCTCCCTCAACAGGAGGAGGCAGGTTGCAGTGTAAGGGCCCATGGATTTGGCCTCCGAGAACTGCATCAAATTCCTGCCTTTATGATGATTTGGTTGGTTCTTCCACCTTCCTACACCCTTAACAGCTTTCCTCAAGGGTTTACGTAGCCTGTAGTTCTCAACAGCTGACCCAAACCAGTCCTTTTAACCCAGCCTGTTCCTTGAGATGCATGACTTTAAATTCCAGCTATTTGTTAGACGTGATGCAAAACACAGCGCCCCCAAAGTGGATC